CGACCCAAACTCAAAGTCATCAGACATCACAATACATAATGTCCGACTCAAACTCAAAGTCATCAGACATCACAATACATAATGTCCGACTCAAACTCGAAGTCATCAGACATCACAATTGAGTGAATTGGTGTCTGACTTTGTCCAACGTAAATCAGAATGCACCCTAGTCCAGGACAAGAGGCTCGTATGTTAAATGAAGAATCAGAGTAATGTATAAAAAGTGAACTGGAAATGTGTAATCTGCAAGTGCGTGGTTTTCAAATTGAGCTGATATTAATTTTGTCTGCATTCATAATTATTTCCAAGCCAAACTACCAAAGTCATCAGACATCAAATCACAATACATAATGTCCGGCCCAAACTGAAAGTCATCGGACATCACAATACATAATGTCCGACCCAAACTCAAAGTCATCAGACATCACAATACATAATGTCCGACCCAAACTCAAAGTCATCAGACATCACAATACATAATGTCCGACCCAAACTCAAAGTATCAGACATCACAATACATAATGTCCGACCCAAACTCAAGTCAGACATCACAATACATAATGTCCGACCCAAACTCAAAGTCATCAGACATCACAATACATAATGTCCGACCAAATCAAAGTCATCAGACATCACAATACATAATGTCGACTCAAAGTCATCAGACATCACAATACATAATGTCCGACCCAAACTCAAAGTCATCGGACATCACAATACATAATGTCTGACCCAAACTCAAAGTCATCAGACATCACAATACATAATGTCCGACCCAAACTCAAAGTCATCAGACATCACAATACATAATGTCCGACTGAAAGTCATCGGACATCACAATACATAATGTCCGACTGAAAGTCATCAGACATCACAATACATAATGTCCGACCCAAACTCAAAGTCATCAGACATCACAATACATAATGTCCGACCTCAAAGTCATCAGACATCACAATACATAATGTCCGACCCAAACTCAAAGTCATCAGACATCACAATACATAATGTCCGACTCAAAGTCATCAGACATCACAATACATAATATCCGACCCAAACTCAAAGTCATCAGACATCACAATACATAATATCCGACTCAAAGTCATCAGACATCACAATACATAATGTCCGACTCAAAGTCATCAGACATCACAATACATAATATCCGACTCAAAGTCATCAGACATCACAATACATAATGTTCGACCCAAACTCAAAGTCATCAGACATCACAATACATAATGTCCGACCCAAACTCAAAGTCATCAGACATCACAATACATAATATCCGACCCAAACTCAAAGTCATCAGACATCACAATACATAATATCCGACTCAAAGTCATCAGACATCACAATACATAATGTCCGACTCAAAGTCATCAGACATCACAATACATAATGTCCGACTCAAAGTCATCAGACATCACAATACATAATATCCGACTCAAAGTCATCAGACATCACAATACATAATGTCCGACCCAAACTCAAAGTCATCAGACATCACAATACATAATATCCGACTCAAAGTCATCAGACATCACAATACATAATGTCCGACCCAAACTCAAAGTCATCAGACATTTTCTCCTCTGACCCATATTTTAAGCCCTGATTGTACAATTTTATACACAGTAGACTTTGTTTATTTAGGCTCAGCCAAAACGTCTTGTAGATCATCTTGTAGAAGACCACTCAGTCGTTGATCCAACTTTCGTCGAAGACTTTTTACTGACTTACAGAACGTTCTTTAATGAGCCAACTGACATTTGTTCACAGCTTTTGGATTGGTTTGATATTCCTGACCTCAGAGATAAGGTAAAAAAATACGATATAATTGTACATTTCGAATCTAAATTTGTAAAATTGTACATTTCGAATGTAAATGTGTTTCCTCATTAGCAGTAGACAATTTACAAGATGTCTTGATTACATCCTGCTGAAAACGAATCAAATTTAAATTCGACATGTACAGTTTTTAAGAATTGATTACTATATTAAGTCAAGAGGCAATTATTTTCTAAATTCTCGTATTTCACGATGAAAAGTGTTCAAAGCCTAAAATCTTTTTGGCATTCCTCTCAAAATATGTTGTTTTAGCTCTATTTTGTAGTTTACACAGTTAGCAACCTTTTTAAATGTATCTGGCGGTTGAGAAACACAAAACAATAGTTAAATATTGTCAATTTAAATACAATTATTGTAAAATTGACGCCATATACATATATATTTATACAGCAATATAAGCAAAACTTACTGAACTTGAGAGTTGAGACATCATTTTCTCTTTGGCGTGCCATCTAAAATCTCTTCATTTTAGAATAATTTTACACATAAGGCCTAAACATACTTTTTAAGTTTGTTTGCCGTTTGAGAAACGTATAAAAAATTTAAGAAAATGAATATAGTCATAATCAAGTGGAAAAGAACATTAGTTTTGAGCGCGTGTTACGTAACATACTAGACTTTCCAAAGTCCTTTCCAGATCCCTCTATGGCGCGCTTCACTTCCTCTGTGGAAAGGACTTTTGTCACTTGCAGCGCGCCAAATATCACCGGTGGAAAAATCCACCGGTGACGTCATTGTTTACATTGAAGGCCGAAGCGGTTTAAATTCTCAGGCTTTTTTGTTGAACAAGCATTTATTATTGAAGAAAACAGAGTAAACAATGTAAATACAATTTTGTAGAACACAAAAACCATGTGAAAATACACAAACGGCAAACATTAATACATTGATTATGAGTACATGCAGCCTACAGGGTGTAGAAATAAACTTTAATACTGTCACCGAAAATGCATGCGTCTGATGATTCTAAAATTTCCTCACTACTTTCGGGTTTAGTTTGGGTTTCTTGATCTCGATTACTGATTATTACAAATTCGTTTGTTGAGAAAACAGGATTTACTGGATTTTGAACTCTAGCGATGTCTTCTCGTAATCTCGTTGATCACAATCGGCGCCTCTCTGCTTCTTGGTTACAGTTGCCTGATTCTTTTCAATTAGATTAACTTCTACTACGTTAAATCGCTCGCGAACTTGATCAACTTTCTTTACTAAGTCTAATAAATTACTATTCTTATCGACACAATTACGGCACACATTGTTAGACAAAACAACAGTCTAGATTCAATAGGTTTTTACATGCACTTGTTTTTGTTGATACATTAACAGCTTTCGGCGCTTACTTGGGTCAGTTATTTCGTTTCCACACTCGGTGCAAACTGTCTCATTCGAGGACAAAGAAATATCAATTCTTGAGAATGTTTTTGTAGACCCATTGACGGCGCGTGTTGAAGCAATTGTATGAAATGTACACACCCTTTTTAATATGTCAAAATTATTCGCGCCAAAATTTTTAATGCGATTTAAATTCCTGCAAGCGACACAAGTCGACCACTCGCGACTTCGTCGCTCGGGTCGCGCGCTCCCTCCCCGCGTTCTCCCTCCCCCATGGTCGACTTGTGGCAAGTCTAGTAACATACGTACAAAAGAACAACTTTAATTTTGATAATTTTTCCAATATAATATTTTATGAATTATTTTCACAATTTTTGAAAACTTACCGTTTTAAATAAGGCGCCTTTTCCAGTTTGTTGAGTTCTTTTCGTAGTTATTCCTTACTTTTTGTGACTTTTGAGATCAATGAATGCATTTCAGTTAAATTATCGTTTCTTTGCGCAGGTAACCCGAGTGATGTTGCTGTGGGTTATCAATCATTTCAACAGCGATTTTGAAGACAGTCCATCAATGGAAAAACATCTGGATAGATTTGAGAAGGGGCTCGAGAAACATGTAAGAATTGTGAAATTTTAATACTGCTCAAAAATCTGCCAGCCTGGAAACCTAAACTAAACTATCTTTATTTATACTGGATAGCTCTATCAGTTCTGAACTGTTCTCCCTAGAGATTCAGTAAGGATCATCTCTTATTGATCCAGTGTTACTACAGGCAGAAACTTAAACTAAACCAACTTCATTTACACTAGATAGCTCTATCAGTTCTAAATTGTTTTCCCATAGAGGTCCAGTAAAGGCCACCTTTTATTGACACGGTGTTACTACAGGTGAAACCTAAACTAAACAAACTGTATTTATACTGGATAGCTTTATCAGTTCTAAACTGTTCTCCCTAGAGATTCAGTAAGGATCATCTCTTATTGATCCAGCGTTACTAGGGGATGCTCTCCCTAGAGGTCCAGTATAAGAATTTTCCCATATTGGACCAGTGTTACTACAGGAGGAAACCTAAACTAAACCACTTCGTTTCTATTGGATGACTGTATCAGTTCTAAAATGCGCTCGCCACAGAGGTCCAGTAAGAATCATCTATTATTGATCCAGTGTTACTACACTACAGAAGAAAACTTGCGTCGAAAATGGAACCACTCTTAACACATATCAATATCACTAATAATATTTTTGTTTATTCGTTTGTTTCAGTCCATGGTTGGTCAACTACGTTTACTACATATTGCTTGCTCATCCAAGGCCAGAGTACGGAAAGTAACGCTGGTAAGTTGACATTCGAGACAGGGGCGTGAATCCTGGGGGGGTGACACCCCCCTAATGTTTGAGAAAAGCAATTTTGTAGGGCAAATTTAGCAAATAATCAATAATTTGTCGGGCAAAATACATTCAATTCATGTTGAGTAGGAACAAAATCATAGCAGTCTAGTTCCACCAATTTTAAAGATTTCGCTCAAAGTGTGTATGACATGGCGTTTTAGAGACTGTAAATTTCACAATTTTCTTGGGAAGCATGCCCCCATATCCCCTATATAGGAGTCTCGTGTCTTTCGAGCAAAAATTATTGTAGACCTGCATGGGACTGGGATTGGTTGCAACCATTCACGTGTGTGTGCTAATCATCCTTACTTGCAGCTAAGAACTAAGCTGAATTGCGAAGGACGCAGCTCAACCTGCTCGAGAGTCAAAGGCTTTCTATGGGCGCCGATCACGGAGCACAGCTACGGTGGGAGGGTCAGTTAAGGGTTAATTTCAACCCACCCTGTCAATATTCCCTGTGGGAGAAAACCCACGACTCTCGGTAGAGCGTTGACTGACTCTTCTCACATCAGTTTCATGAGTCTGCAACGAGATCTAAGAGGTGAAAGGCGCTTGTCTGACGCCTTGTGATGTAGTTTCCGATTACGAATCTCTTTCTACTACAAGATTTAAAATTTTAATTTATAACTATTTCAAGAATTTGGAAGATTGCAATTAGCCTTTCACGCCGCCATTTTTGGGTGGCATTTCAGCCGAAGACTGCGAGATAAGTCCACATAACAGCGACTTTTTATAATTTTTAGGACAAATGATGATAAATTTGCTTTGTAAATGCTTAGTTTATTTTGAAAAGTTGCTTTTCACATTGTTTTAATTGTCTGCATTGGTTAACGAGAATTAGATGCCATCCAAAAATGGCGGATATATATTCGTCATCGTGAGAAAGGCTAATTGACAATATCTTCAAGACAATATAAGTCATTTCATGACACTTGTTTGAGTTTTGGAGTGCGGGCCTGTGCATATATCGACTTATAAAACTTGCATGATTGTTTTGTTTGCATGTGTATATATTTTTTAGTATTTTTTTAGAATTAAAATTTTTGTAAATAGAAACGGTCCCTTGAAAATCAGACTTACTGAAGGGTTACCGTTTTAAAATATGTGTAAATAAATAAATTAATTAATTAATATACTCTCTATAACTCAACGTTTTTATTTATTTAGGCTCATCCATCCAAAGATTCGTCGTTAAATTTTTCAATCACCGGAGGAAAAGACAGAGGCTTCGGTATCTTTATTGCTAAAGTAAGAAGATGTTTTGCCATAAATTATTATTTACACCCGAATAATAAAACTCGTATGCTAAACAGCTTTTTCTCTGTCTAAATTTGCTGTTTGAAACAGGTGAAAAAAGGCTCAAAGATCGAACAAGCAGGACTACGAAGAGGCGATCAGGTAAAACAAAGTGTTTTGAATCACTATATTCATGTTTTATGTATTTATTCTTTTTGGAAGGTTTCAGAAAGCGTTAAGGGGCAACGAATGTTGGCCATCTTGAATACAATCTTGACACAAAGAAGTCTTGAGCAAGAAAATGAATCAATTTCACTTCAATTTTATTGTCTCTTAAAACTCTAAATGCGTAACTATTTAAAAGAATTAGACTACTATCGTTCACTACGATGGAGGGAAATCATGCTGGCACATTTTATGTCTATATTCACACCAAGCCGTTAGATTTTCAATACGGTTTCGCAAAACGAGCTCAAATAGTGAAAATATGTAAAAAAATAATAAAATGCTTTTAAGTAAAAAATGTTAAAGTCATGAAGTCGCAAAGCGCTCCGTTTCCATCTCGCTCCGTTTATAATAATAATAATGAGAAAAAAACCGTGCCCAAATTCTTGCGACAAAAGTTCTTTCCGAACAATTACGACTTCTCACGGCTAATTGTGACTTTCCGCGGCGTTTTCAAACCACTCCAAGCTGGTGTGAACGTACTCTTAAAAGCATATTTCTCGTTGTGATAACTGTGCCTTTGTGTTTTAAGAGTAAAATTGTTGTTGTTTTTTTTTAGATACTGGAAGTGAACGGTCAGAATTTTGAAAACATGACGCTCGCAAAGGTGAGTGTTATGCAAAGTGCTTTAACAGTTATTTTCGGGGCACACTTAGGCCTGTTTCAGACGGCGTACTCTTCATGTGCCGAACTTAATTGTATTAGATGCGACACAAGAACGGCAGTGATTCAAACGGCGTACCAAATACTATGTTATTGACAAGGTTAGGGCGCATTCGCCAGCGAAACCTCAATAAAATTCAAAATAAATAAGTTTATTTTTAGACTAAAGTTGAGTTAAGTTTGGCACATGAGTGGAGCGGCGTATGAATCAACGTCGCTCCAACGTCGCATAATGCGACAAGCTCTGCCGAACTTGTGTCGAACTTTTGCCGCTCCAAATTCTGCCGTACTTAATTGATTCATACGTCGGTCTTCTGCCGTACCTAATTCATCAATTAAGTTCGGCACATGAGAAGTACGCCGTCTGAAACGGGCCTTAGTGGTTATTTTCGGACACCCCACTTAGTGGTGTATAGCACCCCCCCCTAAAAAAATCTGCTTGACCATACATTTTCGGCTTTTCGAATAGCGATTAGTGGAACTTCTACTGTTAGCGCTTGTCGATTTCTTGAAACGATTTAATCGATTTGTAAGCTCACTAGCAAATACTCAGAATGTTTTGGTTAAATATGTAAGTATGCCGAGGTTGTTGTACAGCCATATTTTCAACTATACTGTGCTTTAACAAGCAAATTTACTGTGCTGTGCTGCAGCAACTGCGCATGTCATTCACACATACGTGATTAAAAGTTACCTTTACAGTTACTTGAAAAAGTAACGATTCTACTTGTAATTTGACGCCTAAATCAGCATATTTCTATTTTGTTTTCTTACTCGTTTTATTTTTCCCTCAAGGGGAAGGATATCTTGAAAAATCAGACGAATTTGAACATCAGTGTCAAACACAATATCGCTGGTGAGTTTAGCTGACCTATGAATATGTTACAAATTATGTAATGCTAGTATATATTCTGAACTCTGATAACGTTTTGTTTTTAGTATTCAAGGAACTTTTAGGGAGTCCACTTAAAAGGTCGTCTAATTTAAAAGCCAAGGTAAGCGTCAATATATCGATTTATTTACAGTCGTAATAATATACATAAAAATATTACCCGAATGTGATTCGTTGATCCCAGTGCAGTTAATCTCAAATAGCAGTGCAAAATTTTGCCAACCACCCCTTGATACTTCATTAATTTCTGTAGCCCCCTGGATGCGGACGTACAACTCGCACTGGAAAAAATGTGAAATCCATACTATGAAATTTGCAATTGCACTACTAAATCCACAGTAGCCTATATCCACACTATTTCGATACAATATCCATAGTATGGAAATATACAATTATTATGGATAATCAAAATCCGTTCTATTTCCAATAAAGGTCTATACAATTTCCATTCTATGACGTTCTATGGATTTTCAATTTTTTTTCCAGTGTCGACGAAAGATCGGTATCTTGTAAACTCAAGATATGACTTATTTAAAGAAAACAAGACACAAATTATGGTGATGATAATTGATATTTCGACAACGACCCTGAAATAGAGTCGAAATATCATCACCATAATTTGTGTCTTGTTTTCTTTAAATAAGTCATATCTTGAGTTTACAAGATTGAATTATATTTCGTTATTTTCCTTGTATTTCTTATAAAGAACCTTAACATCAATTTTAGGTAGGCGATAATAATGGCCATTTTATCCAGTAATAGAAAGTTTTGTTTTGTTTTTAGAAAAGTGAAGTTCAGAGAAGTTCATCGGACAGCTGTGATAAACGTTTTGGTTTCATGAATCGCAACAATGACCCTTTATATTATTCTGATTGTAAGTATTTGAGGTGTTCAATATTGAGCGGGGGAGTTATTAAAGAACTTTGGTCCTGCCTGTTAACATAAAACGATTACTCCTCGCCACATCTAACGACTGTGTGACTAAGGTTTAAAATATCTTTTCTAACATTTTAATTCTTTCTTTCAGATTCCGGAAAGAAACTTGGGGTAAGTTCTCGTATTATTTGTAACATTTCTGTTTTTCACATATCTTCAAAGTTCCTTACAAATGACTAATCACACCCATAATAATTTCTGAAAGACTTTTAATGGTAGCTAACAGTAATTGTCCAACCACGAAAGTATTCATTTGATATGGTATGATATGAATTATGCAAACTTGCATGAAAGTTCGAGCAAAAGAGTTTAAGGAAAGACTGAATGGTAGCTAACAATAATTGTACAAGCACGAAAATATTCATTTGGGCAAACTTGCATGAAAATTCGGGCAAAAAAGTTGGGGGGGGGGGATCAATATTACGGGAACCCAAATTCCCCCACCTCATCTTTGCCACTGACTATAAGCGCCATAATACGCCTTATTCTGACTCAAACATAAAATCATACCAGCAGACAATCTGAATAAATATATCAAGAAGAACATACCATACTTTGTACCAATATATTTTACCTATCAAAAGTGAGGTGATGTTTTGGGCATTGATGTCTTGCGCGCGCTTCCATCTGTTGTGGCACCAGTGCAACGGAATATTAATAATGCTATAAATTCTCTCTCTCTTTAGAATGCGTTTGGAGGTATTTACGCGACGACACGTATTAAAAAGACTTTCATGAAATTCACAACATTACCTCGTTCACCCAAGTGAGTATATTCGCATCATTTTAATCTCCAACGGTCTTTGCCTGCTTCGCGATAGTGTTTGTAGAGTTGTTGTAGTTAATGAAACCCACCTACATTAGCTACTGTAGTTCGCAGTGTTGTAACGACTAACGACAGTAACGAGTCATTGACTCGGGCAGGAGTCGAAATTTTCTGCGACTCGAGTCGAATAGGAAAAATTACTCGACTCGAGTCAACAGCCCCAAATGACTCGACTCGGACTCGACTTGTTGATTTCTGCCGTAAATTACTGGAGCCGGTCAACTCAGCTACAACTTGTTCGGGATAAATTCATAAAAAATATTCAAATATTGTAGTTGAATAGGTTGAGGAGAGTCCTGAAAGGGCTTTGAAGAAATAAAAAGTAATCCTTGTAGGGAATTTTTTAAGGCCTTTTTGTTCACATTTTTGTTCACCATACAATTCGTGTAGCCATCGACTCGACTCGAGTGAAGCCATTGACTCTATTATACTGACAATACTTTGGTTTTATGAACTGATGACTTGATTAGCGATACGATATGTTAGGAAAAACTAGAATTAGCTGGGAACTCGACTCGGACACAAAACATGGGACAGTCTTAATTTAATCTTAATTTTAGTGTACTGTTTAAGCTTCATTTCCTACTGCGTTCATATTTCAGAGGCGAAAAAGACGTGAAAGCCTTATACGGCATTTCCTATGACGACTCCAGTCTGGTGAACACGAAGAAACACGCGATGAGCAATGGCACGCTACGTGCTTACAGCTCTTCTGAAAATATTGCTGAAGATGAGACGGACCACGTTCAGCCTGATCAAGTCATCCGAATATATAAAGCTGATCATACTTCAAAATACTTCGTTATATACCAGGTTTGAATACACCTTAAATTATGTGCCTCTGAGGCTGACTATCAGTTTTGAATTGTCCTCCCTAGAGGTCCAGTAAGAGTCATCTCTTATTGATCCAGTGTCACTACAGGAGGAAACATAAACTAGACCAACTTTATTTATACTGGATAGCTCTATCAGTTCTAAACTGTTCTTCCAAGAGGTCCAGTAAGTTAACTATTTTACTGTTTTCGCTAAAGGTCCACAAAGGATTGTCATTCGTTGGTTTGCTATATTTTTTGCAACCATAATCGCATTCCGAATTTTGGCCATCATATCACTTCATTTGAGCCTTTTCAAAACGCTCAATTATTCATCATAAACCACAATGCATTGCGAATTCAATATGGCGTCGTTACTGATGATTACATAAGTCAATATATATACAGTACAAAATATTTTTCAGAACGGTAGCTGGGAAGCTAGGAAACCTTTTTATAGAATACTGTTTCCGAGTAATGTTTCCGGAATGGAAAGTTTCAAGAAACATTGTTTCCTACCCATGTTTCACGAAGGTGGACAAACCAGGAAACCTTGTTTCCTAACCATGTTTCCCTAAGGTGGTCAAACCAGAAAACATTGTATCTTAGTCATGTTTCCGAAGGTGGGCAAACCAGGAAACATTGTTTCTTAGCCATGTTTTCGAAGGTGGGCAAACCAGGAAACATTGTTTCTTAGCCGTGTTTCTCCACGGTGGTAAAACTAAGAAGCATTATTCCTGGCCATGTTTCCTGAATGTGGGAAAACCAGGAAACATTGTTTTTCAGCCCTATTTCCCGAAGGTGGGAAAACCAGGAAACATTACTTCATAAACATGTTTCCCGAACTGTTTCTTAGCCGTATTCATCGAAGGTGGTGAAAGCAGGAAACATTATTTCTCGGAAAACCAGGAAACATTGTTTCTGCAAGACAAAATATGTTTCTTAGCTTGTTGAAAATATTTTTGCTTCCCGCAACCATGTTAAATTCGAGACATGCGTGAATGGGAAATGTTCGAAGAAGCATCAAAATTTAAAGCAAATTTTGTGTTTGCAACATTTTTTAACAGTGGGCAAACCGGAAGAAATGTCTGCAAATGGACGAAGATTCGCTAAAGAACATAGCAATCTTATCGTTCTACAAGCCAATTGCAAAACGTCCCTGAGTACTTTGACTAAAAAATTTGAGCAAACCAATGCACCCACAATGACTCAAAATTTTGAGGAAAATTTCTGAAAGTTTATGAGCAAATTTAGTCAATTTGTGTGTAAAGTTTTACTTTACTCAATTTTGAGTCAAAAGTTTTTTGCAGTGAAAAAGCCATCAACATTTGACTTTACGACGTGTCAACCTACGTGGCTATGCTGTATGATAATAGTTAAATACCATTATGGAAATGGCACGTTATGGTTTCGTGAAGACATACTATTCTTGGATAAATAACAAGGCTTATGATTCCGAACAAAATGACCGACTACAAACAAACTTACAGACTAACAAACTCATATTTGGGCACTGTAATCTTGGCCATAGCCTGGCTAAGGCTTTTGTAAATGCAAGTCATCATCAGGGGAATATGATACCTCTTATTCAAAAAAGTTATTAATAGTGTTTTTTCTTGGAATTTGAGATATGCCCATTTAGCCAATTAAGGGTTCTTTGCCCAGACATGTCGCTGTTTTGCAATAGCTAGTAAGCAAGTTCATGGCGAATCTTTACCAGCAATTTCAATTACAGCGATGCGGACATGCTAGTCGTGGATGTACTAGCATAGTAAGACATGAAGCTTTGTTGTCGCATCTTATGGAGTGCGGCTTCGCTCCTGTTCAATGCTCGCACGAAGGATGTGGAAAAACTGTCAACAGGCAAGATCTCGTCAGCCATCAGCAAAACTGTGAATTTCGATCGGTAACTTGCGAAGATTGTCACGAAACGATGAGGCAAGGAGACTATCGAAAACACAGTTGTGTCTTGTTAAGGGAATTGGCTGACGTTCGGGGTTTATTGCGAGAAATTCAAGGCGGACAGGTGAGCACTAGTGCATGCCAGATGTGGCATGCTGGGATTTACTTATCAGACTAATTTCCCTGTAGTGTATGCTTTAAAATTCATGTTAGTTGAACATGCGGGCTATGTACCCACACATTATAATTAAGGCATGCAGGTAATGTCGTACATTTTCCGGGTATAATACACCCTTTCGATAATTACGTCATTTGGCTTGGGAGCCTCACTCTCATGAATCGTGAACCAATCGCCTTGCGTCTTTTACTAATGGAAGCGAGGCTCCCAGGCCAAAACAGCATTCGTGACGTAATTATCGAAAGTGTGTATTAAAGTGACATACAGCCTCTACAGTGGAGAGTGGGGAAGGGATTTTTCTTGGCTTCCTCCGCAGGGCAGAGTTGCGTAATGCGTTATAAAGAGCAAGAAGGGTAACAGGGGATTGTAAGGGATAATTAACTCTACAAGTATTGTGGGATTTCTTCCAAATGCGTAATATATTCTACCGTTTTTGCCGAAGTGAAGGCTAAGATTTACTTCAGTAGTTTAGCTAACTACCTGTACAGGAAAACGCGTGTAAATAGTGTTTAGATCTTTTGACTTGCCCCCTAAAGCAAAAACTAGCATTCAGCCCATAGTTTTTGAGTACTTGTATCTAGTTTTTGAGCACTTGTTATCACGAGCCTGGAGTGAATTGGGCAGCCGCGCTGACATTATTCCATTAAAATAAATATTTTTATGGTTGTGTTGAACAGCTTCGAGCAGGAATCCAACCCTATGCAACACAAGGACAACAAAGCGTCAACTTACGACAGCAAACAAGCGAAACAATACAGCCGATTGCAGCGCAAGGAAGGGAGTTGATACAAGTCGAAGCAACACAAATGCAACAAATTGTTACACGACGGTTAACAAGCGAATTGATGAGACAACCCAACGCAACACCAACTGGTCCATACATTTCCCCAGGTATCTTCCGAGCAGCTTGTTCGATCTCTAGTCCAATCCAAAGCCAGCCTACTATCGATAAACAGATTCTTGTAGCTGGAGGAGGCCACAAGTCGTACGAAATCTTCAACTGGTCCACTCAGAAATGGACTTTGTATGAGGACACTTTGTTTTTTGACCATAATAATGCATTTTCGTTCCTTTATGATAACAAGATTATGATTTGTGGTGGAACACACACCAACAGAGTGGAATGTTTGCATATCACCAATAATAGATCTCTCAGTACATTTCCTGCACAATTACCTGGTACAGATTGTGGAAAAGGAGTTCTTTGCGGCGATAAAATACTGACTTTCGGTCAGTCTGTGTCGGCAACATCCCTTAAACCTCCATTTAAAACCACAGTTCTTGCTTCTTATAATGAAGGGGGGAAAATGGCGTGTGGAAATGGAGTTGCTCGTGTCAACGAAAACACCGTGGTCCTTGTTGGTGGTTACTACCAACGCTCTCGCGGATACTCGGTGGAATTAAAAGACGATGTCTTACTCTATAACATGACAACCAAACAAATAGAAGAGCTAGCACCATTGCCCTACCAATTGTCTGATATGGCTGTAGTCGTGCGTAATGACAATATCATTATACTGGGCGGTAAGAAGAACCAATATGACGTGTGTAACGATGTTTTGATGTACAACATCATTAGTCAACAATGTTCGAGGTTGCCGAGCATGTTGGAAAAGAGGTAAGACACTTCTGTTTGATTTGATATCATCTTCATGTAATATTTTAAGCATATTATACAAAATTCGAGACCGTACTCAAATTAGCCAGGATTATGCCTTTCTAGTTCGAAACAATTGTACGAATTCCGATGTGAACAAGTGGCAACTGACGAATTTGCATACGGTTGCAATTAAATATTTTCAAAGTCAGACGATTTTTCTTGTCAGTGACGGAAATCTCTGGTTAAAAGAAGGTATATAATTTATGTTTTTAGATTAAGATGTGCAGCAGTAATTATGGGAGATACGATCATCGTTATGGGAGGAAATTCTGTAGATGGAATTACAGCAATGATGGCATTACCTGAGCGCCCTGCGATTCCTATAACAGTAGAATACTTGGTACTGGGTGAAGACACATGGAAAAATCTTCCATCAATGCACCATAAAAGGGTTTGCCCAACCCCATGTCTTCTGCCATGAAAATCATACAGTATGTACATGAACATGCAGGGATGTGTTTGTATAAAGACCCTCCCACTGACAAGCTAAGCGATATAGTCCCCTTAAAATTAATTGTTGCAGTAATTGGTTTCGAGTCAGTTAAAACTTGTTTACATTTAGTTAGGACGGACCTATTACTTGAACTTGAAGTAGGTTACCGAACATATAATTATATCGTAAGAATTCGAATACTATTATTAATTATGACATATTGCATATATAATGTTGTCTTAAGCACCAATGGGGCTGGTACTTTTGTCTCCGCTGGGAAGAGCACGTATAATCAAATCCATATTTAATCTATGCACGAAGGCACATAATGAAGTTTATATATTCACGACTTATTAATTTAATTTTTGGTGTTATGACAATGTCACAGTGTTTCAAATCTATGTCAGAGCCATCATCAGGAAAATATGATTCATATGCTCACATTATTGGGCAATACAGATTATTCTTCATGCATGATCAGAAATCGCTGTCTAGAGTTTAGGCCTACTGTATATTTAAGACAAATTGGGTTGTCTGAACCGCACATGCGTAGTTCGTATATGCATGGTCTGAATATTAATGAGACGAGCTACTAAATTATTTTTAAATAATATAGTCGGCAAATTGCTTAATTTATTGGTAGAATAGACAAGCTAAAGTCCTTATAACAATATTACGAGATTTGAGATTACAATATTATGAGTTCCAAAAACTACAAGACATACATACCGAAACCTGTTACTGGTTTTCCTTCAGCTTTTCCCCCCTCCTTGGTACTACTTTAAATTTACATGAATTTACATTTTTATATACGCTGAGTACGAATTCGCTTCTTTCATTGGCACAAATCTGCAGTTTCTATATTTTATGATCAAACATTAAAATTTTTTATTAAAATTTCCGCCATTTTTCTCTGGAAACTTCATGTTTATTATACAGTTAATAATAATAATAGCATGGATGCTAATATCAGGATTTTTGACACCTCGTTCCATAGAATAAAATTGTATGCTTGAAATTTCTATCTGCTATATAAAAAGTAATAATTACCCTTCCGATACTTTACCAGATATTTCGGCGTGTCAAGTAGCTCCCAAGTATATATAGTTATTATACCAAGCAGTAAATAATTCAGTGGGCCTATAATACTGTTTTCGAATCAACTTGACGAGTTCACTTGCATATATTAACCTTAGAGGTAGGCCCCCCCCCCCCCAACAATATAGTTCACTCCCAGACCCTGGACGGCAGTATACATACATATATTTTTGTCGAGCATTTTTTTGTAACTGTATTTATATAACATGCTATGTTATGCTCAATGACCAATAAAACAACAAAAATAAAGAATTAGTTATAGTATTACAGCTCCTGCGGTAGTTGTAAACAAAACAGTATATACACACCTTTGATAATTTTATTCATTAGTAATTGTTTTAAAGAATATCTCTGTACACTGTTATTAAATAAAAACAAACTTTGTGGCTTTCTTTTTGTTTGACGGAGCTGCATCTTCGCGTAGTCAATTGCTCGCCTGTAACCGTAAAGCCATTTTGTTTTGGTCCGGAAGTGAATAGTGCAAGGTATGCGGAGCTGAGCAACCAATCAAATTGCGCGAAAAGCACTATCCACCTCTCGAGTTTATGTTAATATTGATTTTTTCAAAGAATACGTGGTACTGTCACCATTTATTTACCTGTAAGAGTTCTTTGTTGTTTGTTCAGACATGTTGCTGTATCGCAATGGCGAGTGCATCTTCGACTCAAAATGACAGTAATACCGCATATTTCGATCACTTTACGTGCAATTTATGTTTCGAAGTGCTACAAGAACCCGTTCAGTGTGTCAGGAACGAACACTATTTTTGTAAGAAGTGTATAACCAAGCATTTAACGCGATCACAAACCTGTCCTGTTTGCCAAAATGCACTTACTCCTGAAACACTCCGTCCTATCTCGAGAATTGTGGCGAACTTACTCCAGCAGTTTCACTCTCCGAGATGCAGATACGCCAGTCGTGGGTGTACGAGTGCAGTAAGACATGAAGCTTTGTTGTCGCATCATGAAGAGTGCGGCTTTGCTCCTGTCCAATGTTCGCACGAAGGATGTCAAGCCACGGTAGACAGACAAGATCTGGTCAGCCATCAGCAAAGCTGCGAATTTCGATCGATAACTTGCGAAGATTGCCACAAATCGATGAGGCAACAAGAATATGAAAAACATGGATGTGTCTTGCGAAAAGAATTGAATGAGAACAAACGTGGTTTGGTTGAGATGCAAAAGATTTTGCGAGAAATACAAGACGAACAGCGCCAGCAAGGCGTAGAAATGCGGCAAATGGCGAAGGACTTACGACAACCTCGTGCAACCCAAGGACAACAAAGCGGCAACTTAGAACAACAAGCAAGCGAATTAAAACAACCGAGTGGAACGCAAAGACAACAAAGCGGTAACTTAGGACAGCACGCGAGCGAAACGATATTACCGAATTCATCGCAAAGCGACAACACGTGGCAGCAAGAAAGAGAACTAGGACAACCGAGCGCAACGCAACCACAACAGGCAAACAATTGCGTGCCAACTCAAAGCCAAGCTCCAAGCGACAGACAGATTTTTGTTTCTTGTGGCAGAAGTTCACACGAGATCTTCAACTGGTCCACCCAGCAATGGTCCTTGCATAATCACCCTTTGTTCTTCGACCATATCGACGGATTTTTGTTCGTTTATGATAACAAGATGATGATTTGTGGCGGAACGGACACGAACAGAGTGGAATGTCTGGATATTACCAACAACAGACCGGCAAGTACCTTCCCCGCGCAATTACCTGCTATACAATGCGGTAAAGGAGTTCTTTGCGGTGACAAAATACTGACCTTCGGCGAATCTGTATCGGGAACTAGCCTTAAACCAGAATTTGAAACCACAGTTCTTGTTCCTTATGAGGACGGAAGAAAATTGTCGTCCTATGGAGTTGCTTGTGTCAACGAAAACGCTGTGGTAATCGTAGGCGGTTACTACGAATACCCTAAGAGCCCTAACAGGCCTTACCCCTACGGCTACCGGGTACTGAAAGAAGATGTTCTACTGTATAACCCGACAACGAATGTATTGAAGAAGCTAGCACCATTGCCCTACCAATTGTCTGATATGGCTGTAGTCGTGCAAGATGACAATATCATTATATTGGGTGGTCATCAACAGTTTTCGCCATGTAACGATGTTTTGAAGTACAACATCACTAATCAACAATGTTCGAGGTTGCCAAGCATGTTAGAAAAGAGGTAAGACACTTTGTTTGATTTGATATCATCTTCATTTGCCGAGGATAGACATAATAACTATTATATATATCTTAATTGTCACCTTAATACTAAATACCTTATACTTGTGTTTAAATTGGTACTATATTGGAATCGGCCTGAATTTGGATCCAAATTATTGTAACAGAATCCAACCTTTCTACCACATAGACCGACCAATAGGAGCGGACAAATCCGAAACCGTACCCAAATATTTGTAGGATTTTTCCTTTTGAGTTCACAACCAAGGTGACACAGTCTGACCAATAAAATATTTAATTTTGGTAAAATGTTGCCATGTTTGGAAAAAAATAGTAATGATTTTTTAGTAAAATATTGGTAAATTTTTAGAGATTTTAATGATTTAATAAACGTTTGGTGAAAATTTGTGCTTGGATTGCAAAGCCTGGGTTTTCTTGTCAATAGAAACCCCCCGGTTAAAAAGGCATAAATGATATTTTTAGACCAAGATGTGCCGCAGTAATTATGGGAGATACTATCATTGCTATTGGAGGAAGTACAAAAGATCGACGTTCAAATGATGTGGCGATCAAGACAGCAGAATGCTTGGTACTGGGTGAAGACACATGGAAAGAGCTCCCACAAATGCATTTTGGAAGATATGGCGCAACGGCGTGTCTTCTGCTCTGAAATTAATGCCTAAATAGGGATGTGTTCATCTTCATGCATGAGGACCTTAATCTTACTGACAAGCTAACCCATGTGGTCCCTTAAAATAATAATTAATTTTGCAGTAATTGACTTAATTCAGTAAAAACGTGCTTACATTTACTTAAGATTGGCTTATAGGACCAGGCATATGGCCAAAAATGATAATCTTAGGTCTGTTTCCCGTCAATCTTAATAGCTTGGAAACTACATACATCATCTCGTTCCCAAGTTATCGGGAATTATTTGTATTTTGTATCATGACGTCAGTATAGTTGTGTTTAAAATGGTAACAAAAAGAAGAAAGTATAATATCTCAGAAGCGATTCAACGAAATTAAGTGAAATTTGATACAGTTAGTAAGGGCAAACATTTGGAACGTTATTGTGATTGTCATAGCAACACACTAGTTATCAGGTCTTCTTTATGAAAGTATGTTAGGTAAAAAACTCTTGTATGCATGGTAGATAGATAGCATTTTATTTCGACAAGGTAACCATTTCAGTATAACAACATGCTGGTATCAATGAAGGCTCTGCACAAATAATGAGTTACATTTTTAATGTATAACATATATCCATCGAGTACAGTTTACGATATATATAGTTCATAGTTTAAAATTTAGTATAATGTCTTCCATACTGCCCGACAGAAATATTTGAATGAGTGTATAGCTTTGACTTCTTGTGGCAGTCTATTATACTCCCATGCACCTGTAAACAAAAACGAGCTTTTTGCTATCCCTAGTCGAATCCTAGGTAGATAAATGTCCATATAATTTCTGGTTGTATGTCGGCTACGCAACTGATTTGTCTGGAAGTAATTTAGCATATATGGTGGAACAATGCCGAACAGACATTTCTTTACAAATATAACTGTATAAGCTCTCCGTCTGTAATTGAGAGCAATTAGTTTTAATAATAACTTGAATGTTTGTTTCAATGCCTGACTTTTGATGAATTAATTTCGCTGCCCGTCGCTGAAGTTTTTCTAACGAATCAATATCATTCTCTGCCCGCATCCTTGCCAAACTACATCACAATACAAGCGCTGGAATCATAGCATTGAAGATCATTTCTGCCGCTAAGAGTATTTCAAAGGGCCGTGCTTTAGTCAATTTACACGCAATAAAAATCTAAAATTATAGAAACTATAGTATCAAAAATCATGCAACATAATTTTATAACAAGATATTTACAAATATATGGTAACAGCCAATATTCAATAACGCGTTTCCATTACATATAGATTTTGCACAGTTGTTTTCACCTTCATGACACAAAAACAACTATGCACTGCGCTTAACCTACCTAAACCGAACACAAACTTTCTGAAACACAGTTTCTCATATCGCGGAGCAGCGTCTTGGAATAATCTTCCTAGCGAAATTGTTGACAATTATGAAAGTCTTTCACTAAATTCATTCAAACGACTAATTCAGAACCACGATGGTTGAACCAAACAATTCAGTTAAGTATGCCGGTGTCAATCCTCTAATTGCTTTTTGGTTCAATACATAGACGGATTTTGTGGGGGTGCAGGGGGGTGCTACCCACCCCCAATATTAGCTATAACCCCCCCAAACAAAATGTCCACCCCTCAAAAAAATTTTCAACCCCCCGCCCAATATTCGGCATAATAAAAAATAATTAAATAGTCCACTCCAACGCGTGCAGAGTGTTGATGATACAAAATAAACGTAGGAGTACACTCAAATAGAAAAAGACAGTGCAACACTCTGAAACTAATCGCTCCTCGCTTGCATTCACTGGTTTATTGGAGCAATTGTAAAATTTTGAAACTCTATTATCTCCCCTGAAAAGAGTTTGCAGTGCCTTCTCATGCAAATAGCTTGCTTGCAAGGAACGTTTGGGGTTTTAGTTTTTAATTCTTTTAGGAAATAGACTTGCCTAGATTTAATTTGCAAGGAACGTTTGGGTTTTTAGTTTTTAATTCTTTTAGGAAATAGACTTGCCTAGATTTAATCTTTACGCCCCAAATATTATTTACATCGGAGTTGCATCATAAATTGTACTCGTATTCAAACGACACAATGTCAATGACTTTATAAGTAAAAGCATATTGTGTATTGGCCTATTGGGTTTACACTTTTACAGGTTCATTTAACTTTAACTCTCTCAATCTCAACAGACAATCGGACATGCAAAATCCATTGATATGACAACTTCAAAAAACCTTTTTTCGAAGCTAGAAATCATGATTTTTTTCAGATTTTTCCAGGGATACTTTGTTTTCTGCTCTCTCGATTCCCCCTCGCGGCTCTAGTGCTCCATCCCTAGAATATAGACCTTACTGGGGTTTGGTGACACTTTGTGTTGCTTCAGTCACCTGCTCACGGCTCACCCCCTTAAAATTTCTGGCACCACCCCAGTAAAAAATATAAAAATCCGTCTATGGTTCAATATCTAATGATGATTTACCATGACATGAGAGATTTGTATCATCTGCAAACATGGATGCGTTTGTAGATATTAAGCAATTTGGTATAGGTTATTGATGTATAACAGGAAAAGTAAAGGTCCAAGGATTAACTTTGACCCTTGGGGAACGCCACAATTAATATATGTTGTATATGAAATTTCGTGATTAATTTTACAACCCTGTTTTCTTCCTGTTAGGTAAGATATAAACCATTGTCGTGCTTTCCCCTTTATTCCATAAATTTATTCCATTTGTGATCGCTGATGTTACCGAAATGGCCTGTAATTGCCACAATCCGTATTTTCCCCTGATGTATAAACAGGGGGTTACATTAGTGTGTTTTAGTTCATCAGGAAAGATTCCTGTATTAATAGATAAATTAATGACGAAACTCAAATGGTTAATAATGGCCTCTCCTGCAGCTTTTAGAAGTTTATTTGAAATTTTGCCGTCAAGGTCTACATGCATAGACAAGGCTATGATCAGTATTCCCTAGGTAAATAACCCCTGAGTCTACTATTTTACTATCGTTTGTTCTTGTAATTATGATGTCTATTAATGTTTTGGTTGAAGTGGTAATCCTGGTTGGATCCTTAATGATTTGTTTAAGTTGATATTCGTACTTAAACGTTTAGTTTATTGGTGTGTTCTTTAGATTCGGTTGAGAGAAAGTTGCAATTGAAATCGCCAGTTATGAAAATTTCTTTGTCTTCATAATCTTCCTTTTGTAAGAACTCTTCAAATGAGTGAAGTAATTCTATGTTAGCATTTGGGGGCCGATACCACGTCGACATCAATAGAGAGGTTTACTATTGGGCTTGTTAATTTCAATACAAATTGCTTCAACATATTGTTTGGTAGTAAATAATTTCGATCTGAATATGGGATAGTGTTTCTTACGTAAAGTGAAACTCCTCCACCGTTACGGTTTCTGTCTTTCCTTATTAAATCGTAACCTGTCATCTTGACTTCGTCGTTATGTATAGTCAGCCTAGTCCCAGGCTCTCTTTCTATTCGCTGCTTTGATATATTTAAATAAGTCTTAAAAGTTTTATGCCTGGGTGTGCTGTGCGGAACGCTTCAGCGAGAGAGCCTAGCAGATTTCGGTAAAATGGTCCCTGATTTCAAAAAAGTGGTCCCTGGCCTGGTTACCAAGCATACCTCATTTGTAAATGGAAAATGTTATGGAAATTTCCTTTGCATTTATAATTAAGTCATTAGTTTTGCTCTAATACTGTCGGAACAATGAAGTAGGCTATGTTTCGCGGCCATACGGTCAGAATGGAATAACGGGCTATAAATATGACTCGTGTTTACTAAAATATATAGCCATATTAAATGCTATCTAGAAGCTTGAAAATTATGCCGAGTCTCCGACTAAGAATGTTTTGACAACACCGTCATGTCAGGCAAATATTTCCAATCTCCTCAGCAATTTAAACCCGTCAAGTAGAAAGCGTAGTTGTGTATACCAGTATGGTCTAGTGTTGATCACAACTTGCGAGTACATAAATAACATCAACGATTGCTCAAACTCGGTATCGTAAATTTGTATATAATTTTTTTTAGTTGAGCAAATTTTTAATACAGTTTGATTTGGTTATGTAGACATCGAACATGTACATGATGAACGAACATTGTCGTATTTATAATTAAAGGCTGCCTCGTCCCCAGGCGCTAATTAAAAAAATGGTGAATCACTATATGAAAGGTTTACATGAAGTAGTGCGTCACATTATAGGCGCGCGCAAAGGACAGTGGGATATGAGCGTTCTGGTTAGCGCCTGGCCGATCTTGTATAATAGCTGTCGAACATACAAGTAAACAACAGATCTAAATATAAATCCCTTCATGTATATCACCAGAAAGAAATAAAGCTATCCTTACCTGAATTATTCAAAATATTGCCGATCGTTTACATTGTGAAAATCAAACATACTGCATGTAAATAAGCTTGTAACTGATATCCTGAGACGAATCTTGCAAATACAATTCAAAATAAAGTTTCATCGCTCCCTTGTTTAAAAAACGTCTTGTAGCTGTATATTTTTAAAATAAATTGCTCATTGTGATAAAAATACATTGTCATTTTTCCATACCTTGTAAATTTATTATATAAACTGGCTTCTACGGCCCCGTAGAACTCTTCAAGTGTTGACATCTCGGAATCATTCAAAGCGTTAAAAGATATCAAATATCATCTGACTATAATCACATGTTTAATTGAACGATTTGAAATGTTGTTTCCTCAAAAAAAAATGGCGAAAAAAGCCCCCAAACTGTCGAAAAACCACGATTTGCAAGAAACAGACGAATTTTGCAAGAAACGGCACAAGATCTCCCAGGCGCTCCTCAATTTTCGATGCCTCAAGCCCATAACTCCCTGCGCTTGTTCGTCATGATGCACTACTTCATGTAAACCTTACATATAGTGACTCGCATGGGGACGAGGCAGATTATTAGCGCCTGGGGACGAGGCAGATTAAAAGGTTACTTGTATATATAAATTTTCCGCCATATTAAAAATACTGAAATCTGCTAGGCGTTCTGAAGCACCTTGAGCGGTGACGTCACACCTAGGTCCCAGTCTCGTACTACATCCACTTTTTTCTCGCGCTTGCTTCAGAACGACTGGGACTAGGCTGATGTATAGTATTGTCAAGTCTTGTTTCATTGATGCTTAATATGTCAAAAGGTTGAATTTACATAAAAATCCTTAATTCATCAGCATGCTTGACTGCATGCCTAGTCAGCATGCTTGACAGCCTGGCAATATTCGAATGACCAATTTTAAAACCTTTCAGTTCTGGATAATCCGTGCTATTCTTTTGCATCGGTAACCGCGTATTTGGCTGTGTATTAAATTGTGCTGGCTCCGGCATGTTTGTCATATTTATGATTAAGCGAGCCACGCACGTATGCATGTTCGTATACTTCCACGTATATGCTAATATTGATCTTGTCAAAGAATGTTTGGTACTATTACCATTTCAGACATGTCGCTGTATCGCAATGGCGAGTGCATTTTCGATTCAAGATGACAGTAATACTAATACCGCATATTTCGACAACTTTACGTGCATTATATGTTTGGAAGTGCTACAAGAACCCGTTCAGTGTTTGAAGAATGAACATTATTTTTGTAAGAAGTGTATAACCAAGCATTTAAAGCGATCACAAACGTGCCCTTTATGTCAAGACAACCTTACTCTCGAAACTCTTCGTCCTATCCCGAGTGCTGTGGCGAATATACTCGAGCAGTTTCAATCTGCGAGATGTAGGTATGCCAGTCGTGGATGTACGACCGCAGTAAGACGTAAAGCTTTGTCGTCGCATCATGAAGAGTGCGGCTTTGCTCCTGTCAAATGTTCGTACGATGGTTGTGAAGCCACGGTAAACAGACAGGATCTCGTCAGCCATCAACAAGCCTGTGAATTTCGATCGGTAACATGCAATGACTGTCACGAAGCGATGAGACAACGAGAATACAGAAAACATCCTTGCTCTTTTCGAAACGAACTGGACGAAACTAAACGTGGTTTGGCCGAAGTTTGGAGGGTCTTGCGAGAAATACAAGACGAACAGTGTCGACAAGGCGAAGAAATGAGGCAAATAGCGAGGGAATTAAGACAACCTCATACAACGCAAGGACAACGAGACAATAACCTAAGACAACAGACAAGCGGTCATTTAGGACAGCAAGCAAGCGAAACGGTGCAACCAAATCCAACACGAAGGCAACAAAGTGACAACTCAAAACAACCTGATTCAACGCAACCACAACAGGGATACAATCGCATTCCAACCGGGCCATCATTCACAAAATCAGATTATGTTGAAACAGTTCTTATCCCAAGTCCAATTCAAAGCAAAGCCACAGTCAACAAACAGATTGTTGTAGCTGGAGGAGGCGGCAAGTCCTATGAAATCTTCGACTGGTCCACTCAACAATGGACTTTGTACAAGGACACTTTGTTCTTCGATCATATATACGGACGGATTTTCTTTCGTGTATGATAACAAGATCATGATATGCGGTGGAACAAGAACGAACAAAGTCGAATGTCTGTATATTTCCGACCATAGATCTGTCAGCACCTTTCCCGCACAATTAGTTGATACAGAATGTGGCAAAGGAGTTCTTTGTGGTGACAGAATATTGACTTTCGGTGAATCTCTATCGGGAACCAGCCTTAAACCTCCATTTAAAACCACCGTTATTTCGTATAGCGACCGAGCAAAACTGTCGCATTATGGAGTTGCATGTGTCAACGAAAACACGGTGGTCGTCCTCGGCGGTTACTACAACATTCCGTACTGGGCCACGGAATTGAAAGAAGATGTCCTATTATACAACCCGACAACGAAGGGCATGAAGAAGCTAGCACCATTGCCCGATCAACTTGCTGATATGGCTGTCGTCGTACGCGATGACAATCTCGTTGTATTGGGCGGACATAAGAACCATGATTATGCTGAGATATGTAACGATGTTCTTATGTACAACATCACTAAACAACAATGTTCGAAATTGCCGAGCATGTTGGAAAACAGGTGAGACACTTGTGAGCTCTATATATTATCTGGAGCGCGAACTTCAGTCATTCGGCCTATCGGAGAAGTAAACAGTTTTAATAATCTTGAACGGTTTCTGCCAGTGCAGATAGTGCCAATAATAAGAAAGCTTCGGATTGATAGGGATATGCAACTACCTGAAAAATACAAGGAGAACTTTGACGTTTCGAGCGAAGGCCCTTCGACATAGAATAATGAAGGGGGTTGTAGTATTGCTAATTAATTATTTTCCCCAAAATTGTTGGGAGGTCGCAAAAAAATTTTCGGAAATACAAAAAATTTTCCGGACAGCGTAATTTTCCGGGCATACAAAAAATTTTCCGAAGATATCAAAATTTGTTAAATTTTAGTAAATTTAGCTAAATTTTTGTTATAACTATTACTTTTTCATCCGAGTCACTCAAAAATTTTCGCTAATTACGAAAACGATTTGCCGATAAAACCTCTATTTTGCCAAAATACGTTTTCAGGGGAGTGTCACACCCCACATCCCTCCTATAGCTACTGCTCTGACCCTTCGTCTGGATGTTAGTAGCTGCCTTCGCTCGAAACGTCGAAGCTTTCCTTGTATATTTCTGCTATCCCTATCAATCCGAAACAGTTTTAATACCATATTTCCCAGCTAATTCCAGTTTTCTAACGGACCGTATCAATCAAGTTATCAGTTCACAAGATCATAATATTAGTCTTTAAATCGAAGTCAAAACACGAAATTTCGGCACACTTGTTGTCAACCCCGCAGACAAAAACAAAAGAAAAGCTAGGGACTGAAACTGACGTCCAGTACCTCCATCTTTGGTCTCACCTTTTGTAATTCTCGCTCCAGATATATATGTAGCTCCACTGTAAGACAATTTGTTTGATTTGATATCATCTTCATTTACTGATTGTAAACATGAATAAATGCAATTATATGTAAATATTTTCAAAGTTGTCATGGAAATGCCCTCGGTTAAAAAAGGCAATTTCTCTTTTTAGATCAGGATGTGCTTCAGTAATTATGGGAGATACTATCATTGGTGGAAATTCAGAAAATGAACGTCATCAGTCTGTGGTGGTTAGGACAGTAGAGTACTTGATATTGGGTGAGGACACGTGGAAAACGCTTCCACCAATGCATTGTGAAAGAAGTGGTGCAACCGCATGTCTGCTCCAATAATAATCCTGTGATCTAAGACCGCTACGCGAAAGCTACTGGAGTCTGTCAAGATATGATGGTCTGGAAGCCAGGCAAACTTCAAAGCTACAAAATAAAAGACCTTTGTTTGATGTTGAACTGTACCTCACCGTGCACAAATCCTTTGTCTCAACTTTATTAAATATTATTCATCGTGGCTGCACGTTTCATCTCAGCTATCCCTATTGGACGGTTACTTCGTTATACAAAAATACAATGAGCTCAATCACCACGTGATCGTGCACAAATTAACATGAACTCAGACTAAAACATAACACAGTGACTTCTGTTTAGTTTCCAGACCACCATATCTTGATAGACTATGGTAGATCGGTCTTTAAGGTCTTGAATTGTATGAAAAAGCGAAAGAGCCTTTAAAACTGTCCAAGTCAACAGGTCAACCGATTCAGTGACTCGGTAATAATTTTCATGAAAACATTTAAAACAAGAAAGACTTCAAAGTTGAAGCGTCAATATTCTGTACCCACCCAATCAAAGAAGTATGAATTAATCTCCAAAAATTACTACAAAGATTTTTTTGTTATTCACCTAATCGCGTGTTGGACCAAGAATTCCTATAGGATTGGAGTACAATTGTGAGATAGACTATAAATTTATGCTCATTGCATCACTGTTTATGAGATTGTTGTTTTTTTAAAACTGCTCTCAGAACGCAGAAATATCATTTCAAAGCTTTAGAAAATAAAATTTAAACTATATCCTTCGTGATTATTTGAGATCACAAACCGTCTTTCACTTAACCTAAAATTTTGCCACAGTCCTCCTCCAGTTTGACAGTGAAGAAAACTGAACCATTGCCCATTGATATAGACCACAATGCAGTGCGATTTCAATATGGCGTCGTTATTAATGAACAAGTCAACGAATTATAATATTCGTGATAACATAAATATCAGTGTATTAAATGTACAGTGTGTTTTTTAAATACATGCATGCAGTGTCAGTGGAAGCATATGAGCCAATTACAGGCATGATTACTCTATTTTATAACTTATGTCATGCAGGTTACCAAACATACTTCATTTGCACATGGTAAAACTGAACCTGGATGTTTTATTATCAACAATTTCAACATATTATAATGATGTCCCAAGCGCCAATGGGACTGTTACTTTCATCTCAGGGGGAGCATGTAATCAAATCCATATTTTTTATTATTATTTACAATTATTTTAAAACGATAGCCCTTCAGCCAAAGTCTGGTTTTCAAGGACAAGGGGCCGTTTCAATTTACAAAAATATTAATTCTATTAACGGCAGAGTATTAGTGTTTGGAGATAGGTGCCGTTTGTGGTCCAAGGCCGCAACTAGCCTTGATGGCAAGAAGTATTGCCATAGCAGCTGCGCGGCAACAATGAGAGCAACAATCAGTAATATTAGCAGCAAAAAGAGATAGCCATGACAATTCTGCCAAGGCATACCTCCGGCACCAGTCACATTGACAAGTCAGTGGAAACGAAATACAATGTATAGTGGTCTATACATCCTATTTCCTGTGAGGTTAAAAACTATAAAAAAAACCCAAAACAACCCCCCCTCCCCCCTCCCAAAAACAACGAAAATACCGACAGACTACCAGATAAATCCTCTAGAATATCATGGGTGGGTGGGTGGGTGGGTGGGTGGGTCGGGAAAAAGTAACGAGGCGCTAAACTTGCTGCAACTAGGCAAAGCATACAATAGCAGAATGAATACCCAGACCAAAGCAATGATCAGAAGGCGCAAAACAACCCCGTTTGATCGATATGACGTCACGGACTCCCCTCAGCGGATGTAGCCTGCATAATACATCCGCCGTTAACATTGCTTAAATATATTTAACCACATAAAATTACTATAAAAATATACACACAAACAACACAATCATGCAAGTTTTATGAATCGACATGTACACAGGCCCAAACTCCATAAAACTCAAACAAGTGTCATGAAATGAAAAATGCAATCTTTATGCACGAGGGCAAATGATCAAATATATATTGAAATTTGAATATTATGGCAATGTAACTAGCCTGCATGTGTACCGACTTTATTGTGCTGTAATACAGTCTGTGAAAATTTGTGGCATTGCTTGTCGATCCCTAGCTGCGCTACGATCGAACTTAATACGAACGTTAGAGTGCTTTTCAAAATCGAAATAATATTTTCTTCACACTTGATGTTCATTGTAAATTTTACTTCTCTCTATACTTCAAACTACTAAATTTTCATACAGCATAAAGGCGGTCTTCCAGTCCTCGCGCGAAGCTCCTCGCAGCTCGCTGCGAGTGCTTGCAACTAATTAAAATGAACTGTTTAGCATTGTGATTGGATGAAAGTGCTCATGCATCACTCGCAGCGAGGCGAGGACTGGAAATCCGCCTTTATACAGACTGTACACAGACTACAATGTAATATGCACTCTTTCAAATCTATGTAAATATATTCACATCAGAAATCGACACCTATTGGCTATTATAAAAGCAAGTTGGCTCTTCTGAACTGCACATGCGCAGTTTGTACATGTTAAATTGTTCTGAATATTAATGAGGCATTCTGAATATTAATTATTTTAAGATGATATAGTCTGCAAAATTTTTTATTTATTGGTAAAATAGGCTGGCTAAACGAGTTCACACCCTGCAGGACAGCATTAGTATACATACAGGGTGTATGTATATACTATAATGTATACCCTTTCAAATTCAAATTTAGCCATACTTTTAAATATTCGTTGCTCTGCAGTAAGCTGTCATTTCATATCTAATGCAGACTTGAGTAATGCTTAATTTAAACATTTTTCTCTGAGTTGTGTATTTGTTCATACAAATACAGTGTGGATTATAACGGTCGGCAATCGGCTACTTGCCGAACAAAAACACTGAATGGCCGATCAATTTCATTCTGCACAGACATTTTGACCGATCAAGTGAAGGAGCTGTATAAAGTGCATGTATACGTTTTCAAACGTTTGCTATATATAGTTGGCGTACGCCAAGCCTTTTTCTGCACACGTGCAATTGTACGTCCGTACGTTTTTTAGCCCTATCACGCAAAAATGGTTGAAAGAGTTGGCAGACCATTCTTTGCCAATGTCCGAGCAACAGTCTTGTTGATCGGACATTTGTCAGACCTAAGCAAAAACGTTATAATCCACACTGTACAAATAGAAGTTATCCTAAATTCCCATGTATATACAGGGTGTATCAAAATAAACGCAATTCATCTTTTGTGCTTAATAACTTTCGAAATACTATTTCTAGTTAAACGCTTTTAGGCTTACTTCAAAGCCTTTTCTTTTCTCTTTCAAACAAACTATTATCCTTGTCTCCAATGCTAGTAATAATTGCACAGGAAAAGATTTAGTAAAACCTATCATTTTTAGTTGTTGTTTAATTATGCAAGTTTACTATGTTATTGTTTAGTCGGTTTAAATGTTAGAATTTTCTTCTTTAAACTTTAATGTTGTCGTCACTACATCTGGAAAACCACGTAAGAACAAATTAAAAGTATTTTAAAAAAGACCAGGTTGTTTGAAAATCCTAAATGAATGCTAAAAATCGTCAAAACATTCTGATGTCTGAGCCAGAGTGTCATCGAATTGCGATTTAATGTAAACAGAAATTATAGCAAGTTGATGTCAGTCAGCTTAGATGGTCCAAGCCAAAATTATATCGCATTTGAAGTTTCAAACTGAGTTAAAAATAGTGGAAGAAAAGCCGTAATTATACTTATTGTTACAATCCATTTAATAAAATGCAACATTTTTGTTTTAATGAAAAAATCAGTTATTTTCATGAGAACGATTTGTTATTCCATCTCAATTTTTTTTAATCTCCAATCGCAATAACGTAAAGTATTATTACCCGCGAACCAATGAGTCAAATTTAAGAAACAACCCACTGTTAGAAAGCTGAATGGCTACGCTTTAAAATGAATGTAAACTTTAACGTTTTCATCTATTATTTGTTTAGCAATTTACATTTCAGTCGAGGATTGCGCTTTTTTTGATATACCCTGTATATATATATATATATATATATATATATATATATATATATATATATATATATATATATATATATATATATATATATATATATATATATATATATATATATATATATAATTATATATATATATATATAAAATAGTTTGTGTAGGGTTATAAAAACAAATGATAGAGTGCTCAATGGATAACCAGAGCATAATAGAAAGACACAAAAACTTAGCAAGCTTTGTTTGGCATATTTATTACTATACAGTTTCGTACCACGTAAATAACGTGGCACTCTTCAGATAAAATAGCCTATGTTTGACCTATAGCTTCTTAACGAACTTTTTAAATATG